TCTGGTCCAGTATAGCCCGGTCCGGCCCATCTATACTTAGCCATAGGGTAATTTCCTTTTCTCTTTAGGAAAAGGAAAGTAATTTCCTTTTCTCTTAGGAAAAGGAAACTTCTTTTTATCACATGTATTGATCCTTATATAAAGGATACTTGATTAATGAAAGAAGATACGAATTTCCCCATTCTCTTTCTCTCTATTTACAACAACATTCAACTTGTTATAAGATAATAATATAAGGATTCAGAAGTTTCGATAAAAAAAAAAAGGATTCAGAAGTAAATTTGTTGGATCCGGCTTTTAGCCACTTAGGTCTAATCCAAATATATGTAGCTCGATTATCTGCTATAAGAAATTATGGACCTGTATGAAACAAGTTAAGAATAGGGATACAAAAAATTAGAAACGCAAAAGTAACTTAAATAAAAAATACGTAAAAGTTAGAAGATGTGCTTCTGGTCAAATGGTTAATTAGTTAGCGGTTCACCTACGCGGTCTTCTCTCTCGGATTTCGACACCAACAAGTTGCGTTATCCCACGTAGCTAGGATAGTAGGATAATAGGATTGTTCTATGGTTCTTGTTAAACAAAAAAACGTGCAAGTTAAAGATCAAAAAATTATTATCAATTTTAACATTATAAACCTAAAAAGGTACAAACCCACGACTAGGGAGCGATTTTTATAAAGATATGTTTACCTACTTGGACATGACATTCCTCTTTGGCGTCAATCCCCGGATATTTTCAAGGAACACATCTCGAACCAGATATACATAGAATAGTGTGGTTTTCACATGCGATTTACCGATATACATTTATAGCTTGGTTTTATAGTTAATAATTACGTGACAAGTTTGTGTCCTATGCGGTGAACCCAACGAGTCTCGGGAACATCTCCTAAACTTATTGAACGATGACGTTTTAACCGATCTCGCGGGGCTTCTCATTATGGTTTTGCAAAGACACTTCTTCATGAAAACACGACACACCACCCATCCTTCGGGCCACACATCTATTACCAATGCACCGTGATAATGAAATTGTATCGATCTTTGTGTTGGGAAAATAACTTCAAGACAAGGAAAGACTAGATTCATTTTTGATTCAGGTAAAAAAAGGAAGAAGAGACTTCGGGTTAGATGGTTACACGTTATTCAAGTCTTTGCTCGTGAGGTTCTTCACAATCTTGCTATGTGTGGTCACGCAATGTGTAATGTTGTAAAATAAAAGTTTTAAACAAATTATCTAAGCTAAGAAATCATTTATCGAATCTTTTAGGGTGCTTTACTAGAATGACCTTGTCAAGCAAAGATTTGGACTAGAATGGTCTTTATCTTTGAATATTACTAGAATAGACTTGAAAAAAATTTAATTCCTATGTTAACCTTTTTTCCTTCGAAGACAAAAAACGTATTTACGAAATTGCTATTAATGAAACGTTTGGTAGACTTATTACGGTGAACGCGATGGTAGACTTATTTATAGTTGTGGTAGATTTATAAAATYTGGTAGARTTATTTGTAGTTCTGGTAGWCTTAATATTGGGATCGGTAGACTTATTTGTAGTTGTGGTAGATTTATTAAGTGGTCGGTAGACTTATTACGGTTCAGGCAGTGGTAGACTTGTTAATAGTAGTGGTAGACTTATTTATAGTAGTGGTAGACTTGTTGGAAGTAGTGGTAGACTTATTGAGTAGTAACGGTAGATTTATGGGTAGTAGTGGTAGACTTATTTATAGTGGTGGTAGATTTATTTTTCTGTGGTAGACTTATTTGTGGTTGTGGTAGATTTATTGTTGTGATTGGTAGACTTATTGATGA